GACAAAACTCTGAACTGTCTTCATGAGGAAGTTACACAGCAATTTATATCCCCACCATTTCCTGATATCACCATAAGCATTAGCACCATCTGTTAGTGTATGTTTAACCTTCACCTCCCAAATTTGGAACGTGGAGTCGGCTGCATCAGCATCTGCTAATGTTTGTATCCACTTAACACACAGAGAAGTAATTGATAAAGTCTTTCCATTCCCACATAGCTTCTAATTAAATGCCACAGCTACAGCCAAAAGGGCAATTAATGAATTATCAGCGGTGGAGAGCAGTAACAAAGAGCAACTATTACAATAAAAGACAATCTAATTAAAATTCTGTACTTCTGTCGTTCTACATTAGCATTTCAAAGGCCCTTGTTGTAAATTTTCAGGCTTATGTTTGTCCTGTGTGTGGTTTTCTGACTGAGATGTGACCGAGGTCATACACAATGATCTTTTTTTTCCGATGTCTTATTTCTGTACCCCTGTACTTACAGGCCACAACACATTAGTGGGTTTGAAAAAAAAAAAAGTGTATGAAACTCATTTAATAGAGCTGTGATAAAGTTTCAATGACTCAGCACAGCGGTCAATCAAAAAAGGAAACACAAGACTTATCAATCTATAAAATTAAATTATACTCCCTGTTATGTGATGAGAGTATGGTGACGCACTTTTTCTACAGAGTTAACATTTATGCAATTGAACTTTTTTAAGTATTAACTTTAGAGACTGAAAAGTCAAGTGTAATAATCTGCAGTTCCTCAAGTGGCCACTGGAGGCTAGGGCTCAAGGTGAGTCTTTCCCCATTGACACCTATTGTAAAATGCAAAACTCTACAAAACAATTTAAAGGGTTTCAATTTCCTATTCTCAACACTTAAGAGGGACACAAAAGTACCTTGAAGGCTATATTACATCCTAGTCCAAAGTTTAGTAAACTTAAAAAAATGCTAGCAAGTGCTGATTATTAGCATAAAGTCACCTTATTAAAAATAAATTAAATACATTTTATATTTTTTCCCTTTTTTGCTTTAAGAGAGTTTTTATAACAAAAAGCGGACAGAACTATTACTTGTGTGATTAACAGCTGATGAAAAGAGGTCTAGGTCAGCTAAGTTTTTGCTGTTACAGCAAATGAAAGTTTAGGGAAAATGCAAGTTGTATATACTGCTATATTATTTAAATAATTTTTATTAAGGTAATTTCTTGATAGGTGCCTTTTCTTATATTGTTATATTGTTTTAGCTCACAAGGAAAAAGCTGCTGTAACGCCATAATTTCCAAGTTTGGAATCAATAAAGTAATTCTGATTCTGAGTTAGAATTATGTAATATAATAATACATTCTTAAACTTTTCAACATAGTGTTAGTGAATTTCTAAATACCCAACAAGTAAATTAGCCTTGAGTGTAGCCCATGTAACCTAATTAAGCTAGCTAACCTTTTGCTGCTTTATGGCAAAGCTATCCTTTCTTAATTTCACAAATTCTGACTCATTAAAAGAAATTAATCGAAAAAAAATCTAGTGGTAGCCCAAACACCAAATTGTAGGCTTTAAATGTTAACAAACCAATGGGGATGACCATTCCTAAAACAAAGTGAGCGGTCCAGTATGGAGTAATAAAATAAGGCTGACTCATGACAAACAGGGGTCATGGAAATACAAGGAAATTAGTATATTCAGGTGTCAAATACAACATTTTTTACAGGTTCCCATAATTCCTAGTGGTGCCCTTGTTCAGAGCCAAGATCTATATCAGAAATAAACAGAGTTCCATGCGTCTAATTTCTGCTAAAACTATTTTCTTGAAATGCCTTTTAATGAACTGTTTATTGATCAGTTTGTCATTGTTGTTTATCTTCAAGTACAGTCAAAAACTGTTTAGCGCAGAGTTGATAAATACCAACCACTTCATTGCAATTACTTCATCTAAGATAAAGCTTGTACTTACTCGACTTAAAGCGGTGCTCAGAATGAATCATTTATTGAAAAGTTTTGTCCCTCCTTTCCTTTTTCTCTTCCTCAATGTTTGTTTTGGATGCGAGCTATTATCCTTCCTTCATTCTAATTCTTTGCTGGCATTTTGTGTCGCAGAAAAGATTACCAAGTCAATTCCCAACAACTCAATAACAACCTTATGTACTTTAAATCCCAATAATGCTCAAACACGGAGAGCAGAATGAACACTTAACAGCTTTGTCCTTGCCCCTCCGTACCCTCATTCCCATGGATCCATCCTTTCCCGCCTCAGGAGCACATTTAGAAGTAGGCTAAAGGCTGGCAGGCCGTGTTTGTCTCCTACCCTTCAGCCGCTGATCCAAGAAGACTTACATGATAACAAGGTCGATTAACCTTGACCAGTGATCTCCATACACAGATGCATTTCAGCCTTTGCTTCGTTGCAATGACTGCTCTCTATTCACAATGGCTTTCCCCTTTCACCTCTTTAAGCAATGAGTTTAGATCACAGCACCATGGGATCAATATCATGAGTGCGTTTCTTTACAGGGCAGGATATATGCACGCATACACACACATGCACATACATACAAAGGGAAGCTATGCAGCTGAAACTTAGAATAGGAAAATGCACAGTGACCTCAGAGATCACTCTCTTTAATGGGATAAGATAATATCTAGCACGTGGATGTTCAATGTGCTGTATGGTGACCAAAGGTGAGTCAAGAAACCATCCTTTGTGCTGAGGGTGATTATTGAGGCCCCAATCTAAATCCATTATTTAGTCTAATGGCACCTATTTTTTTTGTCACCTTCCTTTATCAGGCAGAAACCTTGATAGACAGTCATCTGCTGACACTGTGCTGGGATTAGAGAGGGAGACACAATAATAGGACTTAAAGATGTATGATTACAGTGCCAAAAATAGTGGAACAAGTATATGTACTACACTCTAAAAAGTGTGACTGGGCTAAATTAATATTTACAAATGAATACCAGTAATGTATATATATATGAAAAATTGTATATTATTATGTTAATATAAACAAATTTGAATCATTTATCAAGTGCATTTCACTCATTTTTGTTGAAATAATATCAGATAAAAATCACTGAGTAGAATTTAATTATATTTTATCAGATTAGTCGACAATGTTGAAAAATTAATAAATGCTACTCAGTGGAAACTGTTTTGTTTTTACACCTACGTACATACACCTACATCCAAGACAAGTTGTGCTAAATTGTTTAAATTGACTTAATGAAATCAATAGTTTTTAAACTAAAGTTGAAGGTATTAAAATCTATTCAATTATGTTAAGTGTCATTTGTTGCCTTAATTTTTCAAGTAGACAATGGTTAGACTTTTCTGAGTGTACATACAGGAACAGCATGAAAATAAATAAAAATGAATAATCAAAATAAACGTGAAAAAAGGGAGAGGCTGGTGCTGATAAACAATAAAAAAAAGCTCTATTACAGTATTAAAAATAGTGAAAGTGATGCTTGTAGTTTCCTGTATATCAAGAATTCAACACTGCATAACAGATTTTTTTGATACTTTATCCCAAAGCTGATTTATTGTGGTTTAATTTTCCCAGTTTTCTTGAATGCAGCAGAGGTGATCAGTTGATCCTCCCTTCAACTAACAAGCATTTTAAAAGTTGCTTTGTTCTTCCCCGAGGCCCTTTAGTAACTTACTAGGGGATGTAATGAACCAAGAAATGACGGCATTTGTTGCTAATTGGACTGCAGCTCTCCGGATGAGGGTCTTGGCTAGAAGTTGTTCTTCACTAACCATGGGAAACACAGACACCTTCACCATTATTCCCAGAGGCAGATAACATCAACAGACAGTAATTTTCCAAATTCCGTTTTCATGCCTCAACTTTTTGATTTTCTTGTTGCAATAATTTTTCAAATTGTACCCTAAGCTTGAAACGATGGTTCGACTGGACCATATAAAGTACATGTCAAGATAGAAGGTCAATGACTGGTCTTTTATTCAACTCTGGGACCCTGTTTTAAACTTTGGTTTTCAGCCACAGCAGATGTTTCTGTGTAAAGCAACAGTAATTAACTGTTTTTTGTTTTGTTTTGTTTTTTTAAATTGAAGGGAATTCTGTGTAAACAAACAAAATGCCGCCTAAACACCCCCTAGAGCAGGGGTGGGCAATTAATTTGTACATGGGGCCACATAAGAAACCTGAACTGTGTGGAGGGCCGAACCAACAATAACTTCAACTTCAAATGGGGGTGGGTGGGGGGTTCACATATACAGAAAAGCAAGCCCAAATAAGTAACTACTAGTTTAAAAACAAGCCCAAATAAGCGCACCCACGACTCACGAGTTTTACAAGCAACTTCTGAGAGAAACAAGCCTAAAGTCGTTTATAATAAGTGGACTCGGCAACTATGAGGTGTCTACGTGTATTTTGCCGATATTTAAACTTCTCTCCGTTCACGAATGCAGATCTAGGATGTATGCACGTGCGTCCAAACGGAAATAAAACAACAGCTAGGTTTTCAAAATAAAAGTGACACACTTTTGTAGCATGTTGATGATTTAACTGACGGACATCTAAAGGGCCAGATGTGGCCCTCGGGCCGAAAAGTATCCAGGTCTGCCCTAGAGGCAGAATTCCTACTCAGAAACTTGATTTTTTTCCCACTCCAACACAGGGCTGACAAACTTGATAAATTCTCCTCTTACTTACTCAGCTGTCCAAATGATAGACCTGAGTGTTCAAGGCGTTGTCCTCTGGCTTAGTCTAGTCTAAAGACTCTGTGTACCCCTGACTTGACTTGAGTGGTGCGATTTGATGATAAAACAATCTTCCTCCAAGATCAACCATGGAGAAGCTCATTAAAGGCACATTCAGTCAAATGAAGGCACTTATCAGGACAAAGTAAATCTGTGTGAATCTTTCTTGCTGATGAATGTTAGCTTAGCAAACTCAAGTTTGTAGAAACTGTCTTGATGGCATTGACTGACCTTTGAAGAAACAGAAAGCAGGAGGGTCCAAAAGGGAGAAACTTAATTAGCTGTATTGCTCTGGAGGCCGGCTGCAGGACAGGCCCAATGAGAGGATGCACACAACAGGGAACACTGCTGTGTGCATCAAAAACAACAAGGATACCGAATATAAATCTCTGTTTTTGCAGCTTTTTGCGTTTTCAGTCAAACTGTGAGAAAACTGAAAAGATCATATCACATCTGCCTATTCAAGGTCATAAAGCGCACAAGCACCAGCATAATCAATTGAATGATCTTTAAGGCAGATTTTGTCATGTTTACAGCAGCAGAGTATGAGTATGTTATGTCTGTCTTCAAGGATAAATCAAATATTAAGTATTCAAAGTAGACATAAAAACAGTGCTGCGTTAAAAATCTCCTCTATGGAAACTTTCAGAAAAACAGAGTTTCAGCTGTGTGCTGCTAATCTGTTCATCTGAAACCTACCCCACAGCGGCAATTTCATGCATTTAAATTAACCACTATGAATCATCAGTCTTTATGCTGATGGTCTGATTTGCTTTTGTAGGTCATAAAGAGACATCAGGATTAATTTCAGTCTGTTTCATAACCACCTAAAAAAGTCCTCGGAGAAGATTTAAGTTAAGGATTCAAGCTGTGCATGAGGATGGCGATAATGGCACATAAATGTGGGATTTATGAAGCAAACACTGGACAAATAATAAAAAAAAAAGCTTGGCGTGCAGTTTATTGTGCTGATAAGCTGTCCAAAAGACTGTGTTTCTCATAAATAAAATCCCAGTACCATATTATTGATTTGCTATTTCCTATTAGCAGGTACCAGACTCTGCTCAAAATCCCTTGTTTTTTTACACCCTGATTTAGCCTCCCTGGTCTAACGACATATCAGCTGTGGTCAACTCCCAGCACACAGGAAGAGCCTTCGAATTTCCTCCATGAATAGCCAAGGCACACAATGCAAGTGTCACTGTTATTTTGCACCCACACAGTCTTTATTTTTATGCCTCTCGTCCATGCCATGTAAACAGACAATGGAGTTGCACTCAAGTTGGCATGCATGGGTGTGAGGTGTTTTCAGGCACAAAGGTGGAGTGTACAATCTTGAGGTCTACCCATGATACTGCATTGCTATGAGTGCCATTCAGGGCTGTACAGTGTGACCATCTCACTCACATCTGTGACTAAAAAAAAGATATGTGCGAATTGTAAAATGTATTTAGGGGCACATGTGCCCATTAAAAAAAATCAGCCAAGGCAACAGATGTTTTTTCATGTAAATACCGTTTTAGTTACCGTTTTAATAAAGTTAGTTTTAGGTTGGATATTCGAGGGACATTGCAGCTCTACCGGTGTTTTCTCACTCTATATCTAGGAACAGCAAGAGCAGCGCGTTTAAATCTACACCACGGTGTAGTGAGTTTCAGGTAGGATATTAGATATTCGATCCCCATAACTGGGGAGGGCAACAGTAGCACGGTTAAATCTACTCTGCACCCTCGCTGTCAACGTCGGGTGTTGAATAAGGGACTATCAATAAATTAACAGTTAATGTTCTCATAAAAATCTTTTTTTTTTCAATAGCTTCCATGTCACGTGACCAATTGGCCTAAAATTGATTTCAAATAATCGTACTAAGGTCGGACGATAAGACACATCTCTTTATTTCCCTAATTTGTCCTCTAAAAATGCCTAAAAGGTGAATTTTGAACACTTTCTTCAATAGCTTCCATTTCATGTGACCAAAAGACCTTAAATTGATTTCAAATGATAGCACTTATGTCGACCAGTAAGACACACATTATTTGATCAATTTTCGTTGTGCCCCTTCAGTTCTTTGTGTGCTCCTTACCTTTCAACTTTCAACTTACCTTTCAACATGTGCTCCTTGTGAAAAAAGTTAGTGTCAAGGCCTGCCATTAATTATCATACCTGCAGCTACTGATTATTCATATATCTTATCCATTATGCACACGATAAATCCTCTTCCACGAACTGGAGTGAGTTTTTAAACCTGATAGATTCACAAAAGAAACTGTTCACAAACTATAACAAGTCATTGGGAATGACGCCTATGAGAGATCTTTGCAGGAGAAGCTGAGAGTTAAAGAGCTTGGACCTTATCAGCTAAACAGCATTTCAGCTGATAGGGGAAGAAATTACACTCAAGCGCTGATTTACTGAGAAAGGCTAATGGCATGTAGTGATGCTAATGCTTTATTTAGCTTCTTTCAAACATCAAGATCAAACCCAACAAGAATTCAGACAGGCATGACCAATTAAAAGCACTTCTGAGAAAAGGATGAAAAGGGTCTACATTGTTCATTCAGCTTAACAAACAAATGCTTTTTATTTGGATTGAGCGCACTGGTGTATTATCTGTCGTTACTCCTTACACTGAATATGTATATTTTGGATCACATCTTGTATTCAGCACTCCATAACGTATATTTGTTTTAGATTTTGGGGTTGTATTTCGATGCAGTATATCCATGAAAAATGCGCCTGCACCTGTATATTTGTATTCAGCCAGTCACTGTTAGAGGTGTGAACAGAAGGAGAGGGCACAAATGTCCCTGCTCCAAATGTGGAATTATTTTTGCATTGTGTACTTTCTGCACTTTCTGTCTTCTTTGTGTTTGTGTCGACGTGTCTCGGGGTGCTCGCTGTGTCAAAAAAAAAAAAAAAAAAAACGAAAAAAAAAAGTCTTGGCCAAGAAAAAGCCAGTCAGAACTTTAAAAATAAATTTAAATAGCTGCCCTCTGCTGTTAAAATGCATTTGCTCTTATTCCCTTCTTCCCCCACCGTTCTGCTCTCTCTAGTTTATCATTTACTGTGCTCTCCCACAAACCCTCACTGGTGCAAGAGTGTGTTTTTATTACCACACAGTGCATACACTTCTAAACATGGACACTAACTGTATGTACACACAGTGTGAAGCCCTGGGTCAGAGACAACTCGGCTGAGGTTCAGCACTGCAGGCTGCTCTCCTCTCCTCAATGGGGATGACTGGAGTGTGTCGGACGGAGATTTTACCGCCCCCGGTATTGTTTTCCCTCCAGGATGATACTAGAAGAGGGGAACTTTTTTTTTTTCTCGAGTGTGCCCCTTATGGCCGGTTGAGCTCCCATCAGTCATGCTCAGATGGCTCCATCTACCTTCGGCAGGCTTGCCACATGTGTGATTTTGAAAGAGGGTCGAGCCTGCAGAGAGGCTGAACCCATAATGTGTCTATAATTCTGACATGTTGCTTCAAGGAGGCACTTCTTCCAACTCTAGAGAGGAGAAAAATAAGGTCACCTTGGTGTCGAAAAATTATGAATGGCTTCTCTGATCTTTGGAAAAAGACATTCCTGTCATCTGGAGGTGAGGAAAACAACTTAGATTCAAAGACCTTATCAATCAATAATGCCAGAAAACAGCCATCAGCAGAAACGTTTTAAAATGAGTCAAAAAACAACCGGCTGCAGTGTCTGCTTCCTCTCAAATTAGCAGCTCGGCTGCACGACCATGTTTAAAAAGGGTGTCGCTGAGAGTCTCAGGAGAAAAGGTTGGAGAGGTCCACCGCTCTGTGAGCGACTGCATGAGCAAATGTCAAAATCATGATCCTCAGCTTGGTACACAAGATCATCAGAAGATTCAGAGAGTGGAGAAATTTTGTGTGGGGAAAAAAGACAAGGCCACAAACCAGTACTGAACAGCGGTGATCAGGTGGGTGACACTGTTTTAAAAACAGACATGACTCTGTAGTAGAAATCAGTGCATCACTGCATCCACAAATGCAGGTTGAAACTACACTATGCAAAGAGGAAACCGTAAGAAATTATGATCTTAATGCACCATTGACTTCTTAGGACCTGAATCCATTTTGGGATGATGGTCGGATGTATCAAAATAGATATTCTGTTTGGAGTGTTACCCCTAATTTCCACCGCATGCGGAACGGCTGCGAAGAGGCCTTTTCTATTCAAGTTAATGTGTTGAGTTTCCACCGGCTTCTTCACAGCCGATTGCTAGGTTTCTATTTTTTCCGGACGCCGCAGCATACCACATAAATTCAGCACAGGAAGGAAGGGAAGTCGGGCACAGACACAAAATAAAACATCCAGTTTCTTTTAGAAATAAAACACTACGTTTTTCAGGTGGACTGTATTTCTCACCATGCAAACATGGGTGGGGACGAACAAGTTAAAGGTTTTCAGACAGCATTTCACCCCGACACCATGGATGAGAAGATGCTGATTCTAGAAGCCTAGAAGTAGATTTCCTTCTCTGGAAGGACACAATCTACTGCTTGTATGGTTATGTGGCTGTCTTTATATAGACAACTTGTTATCGCGGGATTGCATGTGAATTCACTGGGTGTTGTGAGTTTTGCAATTCACGCTGTCCAAAATCCACCACAAAATTCGCCTCACAAACACATCCAGAAGGAACTGGCGAAAACTGATGCCTTTCCATGGCGGAGCCATTCGTATGCAGCGGAAATTTGGAGTTAGAGGGTAGACTTGCATGTTTCAGCAGGAGAGTGCCAAACCTTACTCTAAATGTATTGCAACAGCTTGGCTCCATAGTAGAAGAGTCCACTGACCTGCCTTAAGTCCAGACTAGTCACCCACTGAAAACATTTGGTGTATTATGAAACATTTCTATTAACATTTTGCACAGTGTACCAGGGTTATGGACGGGAATGCACTAATTTGGGTCTGTTCGTAAGCTTCTATGACGTTATACAGCAGAGCTATTTGGACTTCCCTTTTGAAGTTATCCTTGAAACCTGAATGAATCTCATTGCTCACAAAAATAAAACTTTGCAGGTAAATGTTAAAAACAATGAAGGAGCAGTGCTGAATTAAAATGTTAATTTTCTCTCACACAAAAAAGAAATAAATAAAATGAAATGACAGTGTAATACAGATTTTGAAGGTCTTGAATGACCTTTTGTAAATTAAAACATTTGAAACTCAAACAAGGTCATATCATTAAAAGCATATTTTAAGTTGAGGAATTCACTAAAGTCAGCCAAACTCACTAAAGTTGTGGAGTGGATTTTTATCCGTTGAAATCTTGGTTTGGGGAAAGCTGTGTGCTCAAAGTGCGTAGAGAAGAGGAGGCTGCGACCCTGGGCTTTGTCTGAACCCACACAGCATGGATTTAAAATAATAATGTGTCACTATATCAACCGCTGGTGACTGTGCAGACTCTCAATAGCACAAAAACCTCCCCTTTGTTCCCCTGCAGCTTTAAGTCCTTCGGATCAGATATGTGCATGAGTTCTTTGTAAAGATGAGATTTATCCTCATCCAGCAAGTTCATTGTACATACCCACGGTGTGGAAATACCAGATTAATACAAGCAGTTAATGAGTTTCTTATGTGGCAAGTATTAAAGCACTTCTTATTTCCCAATTGTGGATTAGAGTTGCATTTTGAATTCCACATAATTGAAAAACTCTATTATCAATTCCCTTCCATGTGTTATTATCGATGGTGACTCATGGAAACCTGAAGTTACATATACAGCCAGTGCTACACTTGAATCAGATGCACAAAAAGAAGGATTATACAAGCATATATCAGGGGAAAAATACTCTCAGTGCTGACATAGAAGGAAGGATATCTTATCTTTCTGAGTGATGTATATCTGCAATTTGTGGCAAGCAGAAGAGTTTCCTGTTACGTGTCCTGTGTGAAAGAAAGTCTAGTCCTTTTGCAGTTATCAAAACATTCTCCACAATCAACCACATTATGTAAAAATTCTTGTTCGTTGTGAGTGCCAAAAACCTTGAACATTTTAATAAATTCTTCGGGAGAGTAACTTTCCTCAAATGCAGGAAACTAAATACCAGCATTTTAATTTCTCAAACCTACAAGTATTTCAGATATTTCAACTTTTGGGACAATTTGCTTCAAGCCCCAACAAGAATACCGCACCAATGCTATGTACATCTAAGCATGTTCAGGAGTGATAATCTTCCTAGCTGTTTAATTGTAAATATAAATCCAGAGCTGACAAAATTCAGCACAATTAGGTAACACTGCTGAAATTGTGAGTTTAACAGTGTGGATTTAGTCTGTCCAGAGTACCTAACAGTAGCAGAGCCAGCACCACCAGACTTCAACCCTCCATTGCTTTATCAAATGGCCACATGTGTAGACTAGACACAACCTTAAACAAATGATCACCGTTTTCTAGATTACTTCAAACTCATCTGTTTTAAAGATATTAAGACCATTTGCTAAAAGGCTTCCACCTCACCTCTTGATTTGACAAGTTGACTAAAAGTAAGATAAAGTTAGCAAAAAAAAAAGGGTTCTATGGCTGAAATAACATCCTTGTTTTATTGCCTTGTTTTGGTAGTGTTTCAAAATGTAAAACTACTTTTTCAATTATGATGAATATCTTATTTCTTACTTTATAAGGCCAAAAATGTGCTAAAATTTGAATTCATAAAGAATAAAGCAGAAAACTGACCCCTCCCTCCTTTTAGCACGAGTTGGACCACCCCAGTCTAAGATATGTGGTTACACCCCTGTCTCTGGACACAGCAGTTCAAAGTGATGATGGGATATTGTTTGGTACAGAAGTAGGCCTGAACGATATATCGTTTGACTATCGTCATCGCGATGTACGTGTGTGCGATAGTCACATCGCAGAGCCTGCGATATTGGAGGTGAATGAACTCATTTAATTTCAAGGGTAACCGACTGAGATACACTCCATGTGACTCTGCATGTGCTGTGCAGCGATCCACCAATCGCCTTCGTCCTTAACTCAGTGGCCAATCAGACTCACTTCTCAGTTGCCAATCAGACTACCCTGCCAGCTGTCAATCAAAATCAGGGAGGAGAAAACCCACCCCTGCACATGTTCTGCACATGGAGGGAGACGTGTGTCCGCTGAGAATTACTTTCGGAACTTTACTGACTGTTAAGCCCAGCAAATAAGAACTGTATGGGTTTTAAATTGTACATTTCCGTGGACCACTCTACTATAAGCAGTGCGCGTTTTGCGAGGTGCATGCAATTCTCGGAGGACATGCGTTTCTCGGCACAACACCGCTAACGACAACAACGATCGCAAAATGAACAACGAACAAGAGAAAACCACCGAAAATGAAGATTTGTTGCCAAAAAGAAAAGGAAAGTCAGTTATCTGGAATTATTTCGGTTAAAAGAAGGATGATGTCGACCAAAACACGTCTTCTGTGTTCATCTGTTGCCACAATAACGTCCCAGCACAATAAAAGCTAAAAATATCTCTGAGACAGACAGAAGCCGTTCTACTAACATTCACAAAAAGAGGTAAGATCAGAGCAGATTAACTGTCCTCAAGATTTCAGCAGTGCAGCATAACATTAAGTGCTGTTCAGGTCATCTGGTGAAAATACTGTATTTTTAATATCACAATATATATCGCAGGGTTGAAAAAATCGCAATATTATTTTTTTCCAATATCGTGCAGCCTTATACAGAAGTAAATAAATATTTAAACAGGCCTCATAGTAATACCAGTCTGTGTAGATTAGGTAATGAGATATAAAATACATCATAACTCACATTGGATGCCTACTGTATATTTAATGTAAGCTGGGTAATTCTACAGACTAATGAGTATAAGACATCAGAAATACCAAGTGTTGTTGCAGCGAACTGCCACTGTAGCTCAGTCATTTTTAACCAAGGATGGCCTTATAATGTTGGAAATGATCTAACATAAGCTAAGAAACTATACATGTTTTTTCCATTAGGTTTTGTATATAACAGCAGCAGCACTAAGGGTTAAAATGGAAGTGAAAAGAGAGAGAACATAACCAGAGTCAAAACTATTTTTTTCTTTTTTTTTTTGTTGTCTTGCACAAACACTGATTTCGAAACTGACAAGAAGAAAATCTCTCTCAGCAAATTTAGCAACATTTACAGTGCTCCCAGGTAATTTCCTCCCAGTGGTTACCAAAGTGTGACATCAATCTGTAGTAAACATGCTGCAGGGTGAGGAGAATCCCACGCAGTTTCCCTTACACTCATTTGTAAAGGTAATGGCTGAAAGCCTGAAGTAGCACTTCTAATGAAGGCCTGGTGGGGGGAAAAATGGAAGATGGAAGAGAAGAAGACATATTTTTCTGGGGACAATGGTGGTAGACTGCAAAAAAACGGAGCTGACAGTGTCCTTTTATGAGATGCTAATATATTCTGGGTGAGAGTGTGGTGCTCTCCTCATTAGCGGGCTTCTGGTTTGACAGAGGTGTTGGGGTGGCTGCCATTCAACCCGGCTAATTATCCAAAGTGTGCTCTGAAGAAACACATTTACTCTAGAGCCAAACTTCCTGAGAAAATATCATTAATACGGAAGTGTCACGGTTTCGGTGAATGATTTGTTTTTCTTACGGCCATTCAAAGAGGCTGACGTAGAGAAATGGACTGTGCTTTCTCAAGTCTTCTGACCACTCCTATCACAGTCACACATTCACCCCACATTTATACACTTATGACAACGAATGTTATATGAAGAGCCATCAATATTGGCTTATTCTATTCACACACAGCACCCATGCAGTTTTGGGCAAAGTGACATGCATGAGGACGCTTTGATATGTAAAGAGCAGGTAGTAATGGTAATGAGGTGCTGTGCAGATTGGAAGCCTGAATGCTGTCCAAGTGGGAGGTTGCAGACAGATGCAAATGCAGATGCAGATGCAGAGGTGGAAAAACAGCAAAACAAACTTGGCGAGTGCACCAGAAGAACCTGTAGGGGAGAGTGGGATAAGTTGAGCCACCCCCTGTTGCTTGGAAATGGTAAAAGAAATTGATCATGTGACCAAATATTTAGGAGATGGGCATCAATTCATGGAGTCTGTGAAGGTTAGAAGCACATAGGTGAAGGGGTTTGGCATTTATTTCCAAAAAACAACTTTTCACTCTTGAAAGTTAATTTAGTCTTTAATTTAGTTTTATTAGAATTGTGTTCAGACCAAAAAAGATCATTTTAAATTTGTTTTATACATCAATTGTGGTATCTATCAGCTACAATATGAGGTCAAAAACCTAACATATAAGTCCACCATTGTAGTTTAGAGGACTAATAAAGTCATAATAGTAGTTCTGGGGTAAGTTAAACCAGTGGCTCAACTGAGAAAGTAAAGGAGTCTGATGAGAGGATCAGAGTGTCAGTTCAGATTGTTGAAATGTGTTACTTTTTCTTTTAAAAAGTACAGCTGTGAATGTTCTGAATCACTTAAAGACATTCTCATGTTAAAATGTTTTTTTTTTACAAAACAGCTTTTTAGCAGTTATATGCAATAATAATAAAAATAATTATTGTACCAGTTGAATAGCGTAAAATAGATAAAAATACACATGAATGTGAAGAAGTGACTGTTATTTAGGGAGAGAGAAGGTGAGGGAGAGCTGAGGTGGAGAGTGGTGGGTAGTAGAGATACGGCTCAACTTATCCTGATCCTATGGTCAACTTACCCCATACACAGGGTAAGTTGACCATAGGAGACGACTTTTTTTTGGCATGGTATGTTATCAAGACAGTTATGTTTACACTCATCTTGAAATATAAGCAGACACACTAGTGAGAGACAAAACCATGATTGTCTTGATCTAGTGATCCGAAATATGAAAAATGGCTCATCTTACCCCACTCCCCCCTATGAGTACACTATGCATATGATCCAGAATCTGACCTTGAATGAGGTAGGGCTGTAATCAACCAAAGACATTCTTGGTCGACGAAAACCTTGAAATTTTTTACCAAAAATCAACTAATCGGGGGGTCCACAAACCCCACTGCAGCACTGCAGTGTGGCTTGGTGGGGTGAAAATATACTGATATCAGCTCAAGAGGACAATTTAAACACAAAGGGCAGTTCAGAAAAATATTCAGCAAACCACTGGACGTTGATTAATGTAGACGCTCTTCAATCTACCTGTCTCCAGCTGGTCTCCAGTGGGTTGGGCGAATCCTAAATGGTGAAAAGAAGGGGGGTGTTCTGAGACCTGTGAAACAGGGGTGCTCTGAAAACACCCCCATTAGCACTTGTTACATTCCTCCTGATGAAATTAACCATAGACTCTAAATTGGTGCAGAAAAAAAATCAAGTCGACCAATCAGAACTTTGGTCGACTCAGCATGTATCCACCACTAAGTGGACCATTTGACCAGGACTTTAAGGCCTAGAATGGGGAGATGGAACCCTGCAAGTGTCAGGGTTATAACAGGATGTTTGTGAGTGGTTTGTTCAAAATTCACGTGCTCACTACCGAAGCACAAACTAACAAATTAGCATTATCTGTGGCCAGTACAGTGCTGTTTAGAATACAACTAACTTCAACCCTTGACATCTTGACTCTGCAGCACTTAAGCAAAACCACATTAGTGTAGGAGGAAGAGGAATCAGAGTGGACACGTGGGTGGTTTGCATGCGTGATTAAATTTTAAATGTAAAGGCATAGAAAATTCATTTTGGGGTGTTTAATGATGTTTTCTAAAAGCATACATAAAGTCTGTTTTCAGCGGCTCTCACAGGTCTTTGTTTTAGTTTCCCTATTTCTTGTTGCATTGTCTGTCCTGGCTGCATACACCCCAGTCTGTCAAGACCACGAGAACAACAACAGAGAGATATCAGTGGCTTCTCACTCACAGAGACACCAACTTGTCACATCCCAACTCTGTTTCCTGCTGTGGCTCAAAATTACCAGACTGTGGTCCATCAAGATTCAGACATATACTTTCACGCTGTTCTGTGCTGGCACCAACAAAACACGTCTTGCAAATTCTGTCCCGGAGAAGTCTCTGAGGAGTTTGAAGTCTTCACTGTTTCTTTGAAAAGAAAAATGAAACACTTTTGGAAAACATTTTATCCAACCATTTGGAAAATACATCTATAAACGAGACTCTTGAAAGAGTTGAAGCCTGACTGGCGTGGTTACACCCATGCCTTAATCATTTCAACAGAAGAACTCGAACATGACGTGTGTGTCCTCCACTGTGGGAAAAATAAATGCATAATTAAAAAGAGGGCTTTACATAAGAGGATCGTGTGAAGCTCTAGGGGTGACAAAAATAGAATATTATATATAAACATAGGCACAAATATGAGCCAAAACCCTTGAAACTGTCAGATGCTTTGCAGAATTCAGAAATTGGGATTTGGCATCTTCATACAAAAGCACTAAAAGTATTTGGCAGAGAGAGAGTGGGAAATTATGTGTAATGACTTATAAATTGAAGAACTATTATCCTGCAGAGGCTAAAGATTATGTTTGTTCAAGTACACGCCATGTTCCTCTTCTCCAACTAGAGTAAGACGAGAGAGCTTCTCACTGACAGTGATGACTGCAGAGTACAAGTTAAAGTTGCGGTATACTTTCATGAAGCTGCTGTAAAGATGTCGATATTTGTTAACAATCTGTTTATTTTTTTATTTGTTGGTTAACTAGTTGGTTACAGTTTAAAGCTCCCCTTGGGTGGAAAGTGAGTCGACCTTGCATTGTTCTTGGCTACATTTTTTCCCTGCTTTTGGCTAGTTTCAAACCCATGACCATTTCATTCAAAGGCAGCAGTCAAATCCATATCTGTGTCTTCAGGTCTGCCTTGCAGTGCTTAATTTTCTGGATCTCTTTTGCTTTTGTAAAGTCCCTTTCCATGCCTTGCTTTGAACCCAGAACTCTTAAGGCTAAAACATACAGGATGTGCATTGAACGCGTATCGACAGCGTCGCGTATCAAGCAGCAAATAGGTTATCATTCTCATCAATGCAGCAAAGCATAGCAGGCCTTGTATCAGCTCTGTCGCAGCAGCGTATCTGAAGCCTATCGAGAGCAGCTCTGCTAAAGATATGCGACAAGTCTATTTTTGCTGCTCTACGCTTCCAATGCACGTCAAACCAGACAGAGACGATCGCTCCAGACAGGAAATCAAGCACGAAAACCGTGCATGTCAAAATAAAACACTGTTTGCTAACTCCCTGCTGTGTATTAGTTTGTGTAGATGAGAAATACTTCCTGGTTGTGGATATAACAGTAACAAAGAACAATCCGATGGTCAATCCCTGATCCATGTGGACCCCAACAGGGCTTTTAACCGTTAACTCTGTCTAAAGGTAACAGCACAGCATAAAGGAACATTGTTTACTTTATTAAACACAAGTAAACCTGCAAAAACCGGAACTGTAAAATCACGTTTTTTTTTCACATATAGTGGAGGCTTAAAAGTCACTGAATTATATCCAAGTTAGCAGGACAGAGATCACAGAAAGGCAAAACAACCTGTTGTGAGCTTGTTGTTTCCTCCCTACTGAGCCCAGCTGACTGGGGCTGCATTACACTGCTACGCTCCAAATACGCATCCTGTATGCAATACCCAGGGCTGCTCTACGGCGCAAATACAGAACACGCTCAATAGGGATCCTGTATGTTTGCGGCTTTAGGCTGTAGGGCAGCAAGCTTCGCCTCTACACCACTGGGCTGCCTTTCATTTTTCATGTTTTTAAGGTTCCATTACTTCGCTGTTTGTTCCGGAAATCCAAAAATTTTCCCAACTTCATAGACACAGACCCAAGCCAGATTTGAAACTTGACCACTGGCTCTCACAGGTTTGTTTTTAGCTCTACTGTTTTGAAGCAGCACTGTCTGTCTTGGCTGCATGCACCATGGTAGGTCCACTTGGAGGAAAGGCCCTGGGGTGGACCTAAAGCTAGCTGGAGGGATTATATGAATCCCATCTCTCTTGGGAACACCTTTGGATCCTGCAGGAGGAGCTGGGAAATGCTTCTGTAAAGATAAAGGGTGTGTGAAGTGGAAATAAAGGATAAAATGATGAGTATGTTTTTTTCTCTAAAATTTTAACCTGAATCTCACAAAATTGAAGATTTGCAAACCATTTTTTTGCCAAACAAATCAAACAAAGCAGGATTGATGAGGAATATGCTGCCATATCTGAGGGTATTTTGTCAGCTAAGGAGTTAAAAATAGGCCTCATCTGTGAGAGATAACAAAGACTGGATGAGTAGTTTGGCCTTGTGTATAAAGACAGTTTCATATTAATTCACTTCTCCTATTTATTTTATGGCCTGTAGCGATCAGGCACTTCTGTTACTGTCCATAACATCAGCAAGTATCAACGTTAGTCTCTGAATAACAGAAACGGTTTGCTCTCAGCTGCCCTGAAATACTCCTTAATGGATTTTTTATGTTTTAATTTGTATAAGTTGCAGCATGTTTTCCAACTAGAACTTAGTGGCTCATGAATAAGTACATTTCAGTGATGTCCTGTTGAT